TGACATCGGGTCGCCGTGGGATTCCGAAGGGCTCCGCTGCCCTACTTCGCATCTCGGGGAGGAGGCTCCTGTGGACTCTGGGCTGGGGGCTCCTCCTCCTCCTCCTCCTCCACCTCCTCCTCCTCCTCCTCCTGGATCACCTTCTCCTACTGGAGTGGCATGGGCTGAGGAAAGGCGTCCTCGAGGCTTCGAAGGGGAGGAGATCAAGCTTAGGTCGGGCATGTCCCCCTACAGGCGGATTTCGGACGAAGAATTAAAAATAATCTAAACAATACCCCAAAAGAGATCCACAAATACTCAGGACATCGTCGCCACACTATCTTTTGAGTCTGTTTGAAGTGTCCTCCTGGAGAGGGACACGCCCGACTTGGGCTTCGAAGGGGAGGGGATCCGGCAGGAGGAGGAGGAGGGAGGAGGGAGGAGGAGGGAGGAGGAGGAGGAGGGAGGAGGAGGAGGGAGGAGGAGGGAGGAGGGAGGAGGAGGGAGGAGGAGGGAGGAGGAGGAGGGAGGAGGAGGAGGGAGGAGGAGGGAGGAGGGAGGAGGAGGGAGGAGCAGCAGCTGCCACGTCCTGCACGCCTCCGCCGCGCTCGGGCCGCAGGCGCCCCATGGCAGTCTCGGCCGCCGCCAGCCCGAGCCCCAGGGCGCCCGAGCTCCGCCGCGCCACCTCCGACGCCAGGGGGAAGCGCATGGCCTGGGGGATCGAACAATTGAAGGGGCCCCAGGACACACAAATAAATACACACAAATAAAAGGATTCCCCACATTTTCCCATATCTTCTGGGTTATTGTCTTCCCCCCCACTTCCCATATTTTCCCATATTTTCCCGGGAGTGGACGATTAATTGTGTCTGTGTGTTTTTTCCCCTCCTGAACAATGACCGACTGCCTACCAGACCACCCCAAACCCCACCCGAAGACCCGAACTTCGGGTTGGGGGGGGGTACGGGCTCCACACGCGTTTTGTCGATGTTCCCCGACGCCTCCCCAGCTGGAAATGGAGCGCACATCGGGGCCTTCGGGTTGGGCTGGGGTGGTTTGGTGCGTGGTGGATGACATAAACATGAAAACTGGGAGGTCCGCGCGGATATCTCGGATCCGCGCCGGACCCCCCTGGCGGCGCCTCCGGCGCCGCCCCTGGCGCGCTCCGCGCGCCAGGGAGGGGGGTTCAGCGCCGAATCCGCACGGACCTCCGAATTTGTATGTTCATGTCATTGTTCGTTTCCCTATGGCCGTCGCCAGGAGCGATGCCACCCTCGCCACCGCCTCCTCGTGGGGCCCGCTGCTCAGAAGCCGCACGGCCACGCCGGGGTGCATGCTGTCGAGCAGCTGGAGCATTCCAGAGCACTCCACCCGCTGGAGCAAGAGGATCGGGTGATGCCAGAAGTTAGAGGCCTCCTGGATGGGGACCGAGCAGATGGGGTCGAAATATCGCGCCGAATCTCTTCAGATGCATCGGCGATGCATTGGCGACGTTGGCGTGGGGAAAATCGGGCTCCACATCGAGCCGCATCCCCGATACATCGGCGATGCGTCGCGATCCTCCGACCCCCAGCTACTCCGACCTTATCTGGGAGGCCTAGAGAAGTGACCCTGGCCCAAGGTGACCCCAGCTGTTCCCAGGGATGCGCGGGTGGCTTCCAGAGCGCCCGTCACACGAGGCCCAGGCCCCAGAGGCCACAACACGGCGCGAAAAGCTGGGAACAACTTGGGCCAGGACCGCTTCTGAGGGAACCAAAAGATTCAACACTCGGCGGCGAGCGAGAGAAGGAAGTGATAAGGGGCGGGCCTTCTCAGAAGGCTCGAAATTCCCTGGGCCTTCTGAGAAGTTTTCTGGGCATTCCCCGAAGACAAGGAAAACCTCTCTGAAGGCCAGAGGCCTTCTGAGAAGTCCCGCCGCCTTCTGAGAAGGCCTTCTCCTTCTCACTTCCCCCCTCGCTCGCCGCCGAGATACCGCCACTCCCTGGACCTCTCCCGCGGGTGCGTTCTGACCAGGATCTCGAGGAGAGCACGGCCGTGGTGACGAGAGCTCTGCCTGGGCGAGCAGCGGCATCGCTGCCGTTCCCTCCTCCTGCACCTCCAACAGCACCCGAGAGGAGCAGGGTGCTCGCCGGGACACCCCGGAGCAGCGGGGCGATCTTTGCGGGGTCGCCCTGCCGCAGCAGGGGCAGCATCGCGCGCTCCACGAGCTCGGGGTCGTCGGCCGCCTCCCGCAGCAGGCGGGCGATCGTGCCGTCCTGGGCCAGGTCGGCGGGTTCCAGCGCGTCGATAATCAGCGGCGCGCCCCAGGGGGAAGGTCGAGAGGGCGGGCCTTCCCAGAGGGCTCAGAAGGCTTCCGAAGATTTCTCCGAAGCCCCGCCGCCTTCTAACAAGGCCTGCCCTCTCTAGGTGGCGACATCCGAACCCTACCCTCACTAACCAGCGCTTCTCCTGAATCGTTGGGAGGCGGGGTCGGCTTCGGATTTCGCCAAGTGTTCGACGAGTTCCGAACCCTGCCCGCGCCGCCCAACGGTTTTTGCCGCCGATCAGAAGGCCTCCGAAGCCCCGCCGCATTCTCAAAGGCCTGTGCCCCGCTGCTTCCTCGGCTACACGCAAGAGCGACCCCAGGCAAGAGTAGTCCCTGGCTCCTATGATTTGCTGCCCCATCTCGCTTCCAATCCGCCCCTGGGCGCACCGCCGAGATGAGCAAGGCCAGCTGCGGCGCGGGCACCCCCCGCAGGATCCACAGCAGCACGCAGGGCGGGGCGCAATTGATCACCCGAGGGAGAAACATCGCCACAAGCACAAGATTTCGCGACAAACGAACAATGTGCAAACAATACGCCTAGTGTCCGTAGATCACGAGCATTATACGCAGGTTCGTGGACTCGACGGGAAACTGAAATTGGGGGTATATAAATAAGGTAGACGATGCCCTACTCGACGTGTTGGTCGCAGAGGCGAGCATCCTCTTTGCGTTCGTCGGCAGCCGAAGGACACGACGGGGCCTAACCCCACCAGCCCTTTGGGCGAAGGTGGTACAACGAGTTCTTCCTCTCCTATGCAAACAATCATGTTTTTCTTCGGAATGGTTACCTCCCCCACGCCCCCTCCCTGAGGTTTGTTGGGGGGGCGAAAAGGCAGGGGGTCTTTATTCGCCCAAGGCGGCTTCAAGAGGGCCTTCGATGCTCCAAGATGGCCTCCAAGGCGGATCAAGATAGCCGAATCTAGTTCAAGATGGCGCCCGACATACCCGCAAGAAGCCCGACGAGGGCCACAACACGGTTCCAAGTGCTCTCGAAGACCCCAGGACCCCCCCCCCAAGAGGCCAACATCCTTCGATAACCCCAGAGATCCCAAAGATTGTGTACTTCTCCCCTGTTCGCTTCCGATGCGCTTGTGAGGCGTCAAGATGGCCCCAAGATGGCACGAGAGAGGCCCAAGAGAGGCCCAAGAGGCCCCCAAGACTGCCCCGAGAAGGCCCAAGAGAAGCCCAAGAGAGCCCCAAGAGGGCCCCAAGGGGCGATCTTGCTGGTCCCAGAGGTGCAAGCAAATCGGTGACCCCCCCCCCCCTTTGATCGACGGCCTCTCTGATGGCCTCAAGAGGCCTTCCAGGGCTCCCATGGGACCCTCAACAGAGCTCCAAGAGGGCCCCAAGAGGGCCCCAAGACCCCCCAAAAGAGCTCCAAGGGAGCCCCAAGATCCCCCAAAGAGTCCCAAGAGGGCTCCAAGAAACGATTCTGAAGGCTCTGAACTCGTCCTCGTTGTCCTCATTCCTCTTCCTCATCATCCTCGTTCTCGTCCGTACCCTCATCGTCTTACTTTTCTTGTTCGTCCTCTTCATCGTCGTCGTGGTCGTGGTCGTCGTCGTCGTCGTCGCCGTCGTCGTCTTCCTCATCCTCCTTCTTCTCCTCCTCGTCCACCTCCTTCTCATCCTCCGCCTCCTCCGCCTCCTCATCCTCCTCCTCCTCCTCCTCCTCCTCCTTCCTCCCCCCCTCACCCGCACGCGGGCACAGGGATGGTCCGAAGAGGCCCTCCAAGGCCACCCCCCCGAGAGATCTTTCTGATCACCCTGGTTGCCCGCTATGTTTCACTACACACTACATGTTTCTCTTCGTCCTTTTCCCATCAGCTCTCATGGGCAGGGTTTCCGAATGGGCGGGTGGGGGCACGCGAGGCGAGAAGAATAAGAAGAATTGTGTACAACAAGCGAGGAAGGTGAGCGGACGCGCGGAAGGAGAACGGAGCACTCTCAGAGCACGAAGTTCTTGAACGTGTGTGCCAGAGCACGGGCGTGCACAACAGGGAGACGCAGACGACCGAGGAGGTGAGTAGAACGAGCGAACAACGCACACCCAGGCCCACAGGGGGGAGGGAGGGAGCAGGGCTGGCTATGGGTGTTGGGCGCGGTTTGTCGGATCTCGGGGAGAGGCTCCCGTTCGCGCGGGGGCTCCCCATGCGACCGCACGCACCCATAGCCACCTCCGCCCCCCTGTGGGTATGGGTGCAGTTTGTTCGTTCGTGACTTCGGCACTCCGCACGGGTCTCTTGGCTCGGCGCCAGGTCCACCCGGCGGCGCCTCCGGCGCCGCCCCTGGCGCGCTCCGCTCGCCAGGGAGGGGCCCTGAGATCCGACGCACTGAGACAACATGCGACACTGTGGAAAATCGGCCCCAACCCTACTCCAGATTTCGTAACAAAGGGGAGGGGGTCTCCAAGACAAGCCATTTCAGACCTCCCCCGTGGGAGAACCCTCCAAAACATCGTCCCCAGACCCCCCCCCCCGAAATGAGACCCCCCCCCGAAATGAGACCCCCCTCCCTTTCTTACGAAATCTGGAGTGTGTTTCTGCACCAGTTTTCGAGTCGGATCGATCCCGGAGGGTCCTGGGTCCCGAGACCGGGCGGAAACGCCTGGCTCGGGCAGATCGAGACGCCAGGATCTCAGAGGGGGTCCGGCCCGGGTCCAAGAAGCCCGCGCGGAGCTCCGAGAGTGCATGCTCATGCCGCTCTGTCCCCTTCGGCATCATGAGGCCCAAGAGGTGCGGGCTGTGCACTGCCCGCAAGAGCGGCACGAGCGTGCCGCTGAGGAGCGCGTCGGGCTCCAGCAGCAGAGGGACGAGGGCTGCGTCGAAGCGGTCCGGGTCCACGGCCGCGACCAGCGCGGTGAGCTTGCGGGGGGAAACGTTAGGGGGGGGCACCTCATGGGGGGGCCCATCGACCTGGAATCGGCGACACATCGCCGATAGATCGGAAATGGGCTCCCGATGGCGAATCCGCACGCTCCTGGGCGGGGCGGGGGAATCGGGCCCCTATCGGCGAGCAATGGGCGATTCAGGGTCAATGCGTCCCCCCTGAGCCTATCCCCCCCATCGTTGCCCCTGGCCTTGGCCGCGGGCGCGGCGAGCACGGCCGCAAGCTTCGCGGCGGGCACGCTGCTTGCCAGCAGCACCACGTGCCGAGGGCTGGTGCGGCAGGAAACTCGTTCTGCAGGAAATCAACTGCCGTGCGTGTATGTGATGCTTGTTGTTCTACCAAACAAGTACGGCAGGACACCGCGTGGATCGTTCAACCTTGAACAATCGGCGGCTTGTCGATCGCCAGACCGTTCGATGTTGGCCGATTCTGGGCCACTGGCAGCGTTGAACCTTGAACGCCCGCAGCGGGTTCGCAGCCGCGTCGACGCGACGCGAACCTGCCGTAACGCTGAGCGGTGCAAGGACTCATTTGGGACGAAGCGGGCCTATGTTCGTCAATGTCGCTGCATTGAAATCGACTTCCTGGCAGGTCTGTTCCCTGGCAGAACCGATCCTCGGATGTGCCGCGGCTCGAGCAGCTGCAGCAGGGACGCCATGCCCGCGCCCACATCCCCGCCGGCGTTGAGCAGCGGGACGGCTGGAGGGAGAAATGTCTGGACACCTGGGGTGGGAGGGCAACGTCGAGGAGGAGGAGGAGCAGGGAGGAGGGAAGAGCGGGGAGGAGGGGCTGGCAGACATCGCAATTCTCGGAGGGCGGAGCGAAGTGTGAAGTCGGGCGTGTCCCCCTACAGGGGGATGTTGGGGGAAAAATTTAATATACTCAAATAATGCCCCCCGGATGGGCCAAAAAAGTCAAGTCCCCAGACTATTTTTGACTATTTCTGAATATTCCTCCTGTAGAGGGACAGGCCCGACTTAAGCCAGGTGTCCAAAATTTCGACCTCCAGCGAGCCCAGACCTCCAGCGACGCGCCTTGCCTTCGCGGCGTGGACCCCGCAGCGCTCGAACCCCTCCGCGGGGCTGGCTTGCCGCCGCGGGTCGCTTCTGCGCGTCCCCAGGGACACCCGAGAGAGAGCCCCAGGAACCCGAGACTGCATGGAAGAGCAACCCGAAGGAAAAACGTCTCCCGCTGTGCTCTCGTTCGTGGGCCCTCCTTCGGAGCCTCCGAGGCGGCCTGAGAAGCCCCCGGCCATTCTCAGTCTGAAGGCCGATCCCCTCGCCCCGGCCCCCCTTCCGCGCGCCGCCGAGAGGAGCACAGCGGAGGATGCTCTTCCCTCGGCATGGTGCTCTGGTCGGGCGCTGCTTCGTGGGGGCAAATCAGCGGCGGGGGACGCGTGCACCTCTCGCGCCCCTTCTGGGCCATACTGTCCCAGGGGGGGCTTTTGAGGGGGGCCCCTTCAGGGCCCCCCTTGGGGCACAACAGGTGCACCTTTCTTCACTCCTCCATGCATCGCCCCCCCCCTCACGCAACACCCGATCTGGGAAATGCGTAAAGAACGAATGGCCCGCGACGGAAAACCAGGCACCCGTGGGCGAGGCCGAGGGCTCCGTCTCGCTGCACCAGAGGTCTGGGGAGAGATCACCACCTGGAAAGGAAAGAGAAACGGCACTAACATTAGGTCGGGCGTGTCCCCCTACAGGCGGATTTTGGGCGACGAATCACAAGTACTCAAACAATGCCCGAAAATAACCAAAAAATGCTCAAACCATATTCCCCAGACTATTGTTTTATTATGTTTGAATACTCCTCCTGCCAAGGGGCATGCCCGACTTAACACTAACATGAGCCTTCGGAGGTCCGCGTGGACCCTCTTTGATCATCGCTTAACCGATCCCTATCTCCACTGGCCTGGCCTGGGCCCCACTGGCCGCTTCACCACCCTCGATGTGGATGTAGGCTGTTCCCCCCGGGCTTCCAGGAGCGCTTCCCCAACTGGGGTGGTGGGATGGCGGGGATGGGGATGGGGATGGGGGAAGGAGGAGGAGGAGGAGGAGGAGGAGGAGGAGGAGGAGGAGGAGGAGGAGAAGAAGGATGACGAGGAGGAGGAGGAGGAGGAGGAGGAGGAGGAGGATCGCCTCCTCCCCCCTCCCCATGGCGCGCAGGGTGCCGCCAGGTGCGGCGCTGGCAGCGCCGCCAGAGGGTAACTACGGAGGAACAATTGTGGGAGGCCAGCTCGGGAGGGAAACATCGACCCAGAATCAACGATACGTCGCCGACTGATCGGCACTCGGCCCCCGATAGAGAAACAGCACGCTCGTTGGCGGGGTGAGCTGTCAGGCCGCTGTCCGCGGTGAACGGGCGACTGGGGGTCGACGCGTTCTCCCCTGAATCCATCCCCCTCCTCCCCTCCTCCTCTCCTCCTCCCCTCCTCCCCTCCTCCTCCTCTCCTCCTCCCCTGAGCCCATCCCCCTCCCTCCTCCTCCCCTCATCCTCTGCTCCTCCTCTCCTCCTCCTCCTCCGCCTCCTCCTCCGCCTCCTCATCCTCCCCTCCTCCTCGTCCTCCTCCTCCGCCTCCTCCTCCGACGCAGGGCCCTTGGACGCCCACGCTGCAGCAGCATCGGCGGCACCCAGCCAGCAGAGACGGACAGCAGGGCTCGCGGGACGGACGAGAACGCAGAGGTGACAGGCATCCCAAAAGGGGGTCCGGGCAGAGAGGGTCGGAGGATCGCGCCGCGTCGCCGATGCGTCGGCTACGCGTCGCCAACGCGTCGGCGATGCATCGGCGACGTCGGCGTGGACAGGGTCGGCCGTCACATCGCACCGCATCGCCGATGCAGCGGCGATGCGGCGTGATCCTACGACCCCATAGACTCGGACCCTATTCGGGAGGCCTGCAGGGGCAGCCTTCGTGAATCGCTGCGTCTCTGCTGCCCTGGCATCGGTCGCTGCGACTTCCCCGACGCGTGGGCCCCGGGACCTCTTGGCTCGTTCCCCGTGCGAGCTTCTCGGCCCAAGGATGTCATCTCACGGACCCCAGGCCCGACACTGGCCTCCAGAGGCCAAAAATGGCAGGCCTTCCCGACGCGGGGGCCCCGGGACCTCTTGGCTCGTTCCCCGTGCGAGCTTCTCGGCCCAAGGATGCCAGCTTACAGACCCGAGGCCCGAAACTGGCCTCCAGAGGCCAAACATGGCGCACGGGCCGCCTCGATTTGCTTAGGGCGCCAAATGTCTGGGCACAGCCACCGTGCACGTTGAGGACTCGCGGTCAGGAGGTGAGACACTCGTACGCCCGTGTGCATGCTTTCTGAGCTACGGGTTGGCCAGCAACAGGCTGAAGAAGGAGGGGCGCAAGAGCACCACTGGAAATGCTGCTCATCCTTACCATGCGCATTGGCTGCACGACTCTTGATCGCATGCCGCTCTGAGGTGGCGACATCTGAACACTACCCCCACCAACCATCGCTTCTCATGAATCGATGGGAGGCGGGGGTGAGGGTTCGGATTTCGTCACGTGCTCGACGAATCCCGAACCGTACCGCCGCCGCCCATCGAGATGCCTGAATCGTTGATCGGCGAGGGCAGGGCTCAGACTTCGCCGCCGGTGTGTCCTTCCTCATGTGCAAAGCGCATGGCAGAGATGTGGCCAGGTAGGATAAGAATGACCATGATCTCTGCTGCGGCTCTCGCTCGCTCGCGCTTCTATCATCCCTCTCGTCTGTAGCCATGTGGCTCAACACTGCCAGCTGTGGCGGAAGAGTGGACGCACTCATCGAACGCTTAGTTTGATTCGGAGATGACATGATTATCGCATTATTCCCGACCTAGGCTCTGCCTAGAAGGGTTCTTACTCTCTGAGCTTAAAGGGGCCGGGCAGTGCTCCCCGCCCCGGGCGGTTCCCCCGGTCCCCGCCCCGCGGTTCCCCCAGTCCCCTGGGAGCTTTAGATTTAGCTTCAGCTTTAGCTTTAGCTTTAGCTTTAGATTTAGCTTAGCTGCAGCTTAGCTTTAGTTTAGCTTTAGCTTAGCTTTGGCTTAGCTTTAGCTTAGATTTGGCTTAGCTGTAGCTTAGCTTTAGCTTAGATTTAGCTTAGCTTTAGCTTACCTTTAGTTTAGATTTAGCTTAGCTGTAGCTTAGATTTAGCTGAGCGTTACCTTTGCTTTAGCTTAGCTGTAGCTTAGATTTAGCTTAGTGTTAGCTTAGCTTTAGCTTAGCTTCAGCTTAAATGTAGCTTAGCGTTAGTTTAGCTTTAGCTTAGCTTTAGCTTAGCTTTAGCTTAGCGTTAGCTTAGTTTTAGCTTAGCTTTAGCTTAAATTTAGCTTAGCTTTAGTTTAGCTTTAGCTTAGCTTTAGCTTAGCTTTACTGTTACTACTCATGTTGCTTTCCTAGGGGTTCCAACTCCTAGGTAGGGTCGCACTGGGATAATGATATGGTCTCTATTGCATCAAGAGGTCTTGGTCAGGAGCGATTGTGACTACCATTTACGCTGGTAGCCTGGAGCTGTATCAGTTCTACGGTCACGAGGTTCATGTCAGAGTGGCCCTGCAAAGACATGCTGGCGCTCGACTGCATTATCGCGGTGCTTTGCCACTGCGCTTTTCGTGTTTCAGCGGTCACAAAGATCGAGACCATCACCTACAGCAGTTTGGATGATCGTTGCACCAAAGAGCCAGACTGCAGCTACAACTACAGCATCATCGGCAAGCCGGACATCATCAACTACAGCAACAGCAACGAGCTGGACATGCTCAGCAGCAGCGACGACGTGAGCAGCCTCATTGCCGACGCAATGACGACCAAGCAGCAGCAGGACGGACCCCTCTGCGTAGACAGGGAAGGCGTGGTTCACTCCTGACCCAGCCTACGGTGAAGAGCTCGAAGAGAGAGCGATACTTGGCTACCACGCGAGTGAAGAAAGAGTTCGAAAGCTGTACGCGATCAACGTGAAGAACGCACTCAGTGGACGAGCGTGGAGTATCACACGTAAGAAGGTCGAGATCACTGCTCGAGCAGTTCTAGAAAAGGCAGGTGGTGACGCACTTGCTGCAACCCGTTAAGTGGTGGCAACAGTTCGGACAGCGTGCGAGCGGATTGCACCACTACAGAAGCAGCAGGCAATCGAGGAGTTCTTCTTCAAAGACTTCAGACACCGATCGGAGTCAGTGCAGGACTGCATCGCAAGGCGGGAGACGGAGTACGAGCGGACTACGATGACGAAGAAGAGGCCCCACTCGGAGGTCAGCGTGGACCAGGTGACGAGGACGTTTTCCTGAGTGATTCGGACTACGATGCCCTCGCAGCATACATCGACGAGTTTGATGGAGTCATCGTCGATGTCGACACCGAGGAGATCAGCCAGGAGGAGCGCGACACTCTGGCAACAGACTCTCTCAACGTCTAGGCTAGAAGGCTGGACACCAAGGTCACAAGCCTAACTACAAACAAGCCCAGGAGCGGCTGACTCCAAGCAAGTCCAACAGAGGCTGGAAAGCTAACATCAACAAGCAAGGCTCAATCAAGATGGACAGCAAGGAAGCAGAGGAGAGGCTCAAGAAGATCAAGGAGCGCACTGAGTGCAACGCGTGCCACACAAAAGTGCCACTGGAAGGGCGGCCTCGAGTGCGCGAAGACAAGACCATCAAGCAGCGGATCGGGCCATACATATATATATATATATATATATATATATACAAAGTGGAGA